AGCCACAGACGACCTTTTGGGCGTCGGTGCACTGCAGCAAATTGAAATTCTGCTCTAACTGACGGATCCACTCCGCCACTGCATCGGGCCCTTCGACCCCGGTGAAAGTCGGTGGGGTCAACTGGGGAAACTAAATCACAATGTTGAGATGAGCCCCAGCCGGATTGAGAGCCTGCTGGTGAGGTGGAGATGGGGATGGAGACGGAGTAGGCTGAAGGTTGCGAGCATTACGACGAGCCATAGTTCTACATTGAAAATAGGCCGAACAATTTAGCACAATAATAAAAGAAGTCTAGAGTTCACCACTAGAGTTCGCATTTAAAGGTGGATTAGTCCTAATCCCGATTTCATTAATCAATAATGAACCAATATACAATAATCTCAAAGTCATTCAGGTACTCATACCTGAGCTAGCGCGGCACGACGAGAGCGAGTGGTCTTAACATGAATTTGAAACACATAATCACATAATCAACTTTTTATACTTAAACCAGTCTACAGAAATGCAGAATGGCTCTGAAACCAAAATGTAACGCCCCACTTTTAATTAACAAAAATCCGGGGTAAATTTTTCAATTTATTTTAAAAACAATATTTGAGGCCTACTCATTTTTAAAACAATGATCAATACTCAACATATTCTCAATACTCAGCAATTATCAACACTCATAATCAATAATAAAATTTCAATAATGCAATAATAATCCAATCATGATCTAGGGAAATAATCCCTATCAATAATCCAATACTCCAATACTAGAAAACAATAATCAATAATAATGCAATTGTAACACCCCACTTTGATTTTAAAGAAATTCTGGATTTTTCAAAAACCAGTATAAAATTTTCAAACTCATTTTCGAAAATTTTGTGGGTGTTAACTAACATTCTCATAACCTAAGTCTTATCTGGGCCTACGGGGATTCATTACCCAGTTTTGACAATCGGTTTTCATCAACCAACAGAACCTCATGAGATAAATAGTCAAACATCAATCCCAAAACTACAAGGGTTCATAAGA